CCCTCCCTCTTCTTAGTTTCTGTTTCCCTTCAAGCCTGGCTCCGAAACTCCAAAATTTTCCAAAAAGTTTCGGATGGTTTTATTTAATTTCAGAGATGTTTCAGAGCTTTCTGTTTAATTTCAGATTCGATGTTTGGGGTGCTGAAATGGGCCAAAACACATCCAAAATGAAACAGCTGCCAAAGTTTCGCACAGCCCTAGTAACTTCTGTCCCTAGCCTGTGTGTCTACTTGAGATACCTGCCGCAAAGGATCTATGTGCTAATTAGTTCCCACTCATAACTGGAATGCTCCAAAAATTTATATGCAGATGAGGCACAGGGCAACCTATCCCAGCTTCACGTCGTGGAAGGTGGGGGCCACACTAATCATGTGCGTCAGACTGAGAAAGGGGGTGACAGATGAATTCTGGGTGAGCTGTATGCAATGCTGTGCCTCATGATGAATTAGAAAAGAATCAGTAGTGAAGGGGGCTGTGCTTAACGGGCACTCCCATATATCTATGCTACCAGATATGCTATGCTAGCCTATCCTTCCTTGGTTCCTATCAGTATGTGTGCCCAATGTGGGCCATGCGCTTTATAGTCATGCTCAGCGTTGGCTGGTTTTAATCAACTTCACAGTTAGTTTCCATTGCTGAGTGTACAAAGGCAGCAGTTTAATGACAGACAATGTATTTCGTGAGATTTCCTTGTATATGATCATAAGACAAGGGGCTTTCTTCCCCATGCTAATAGGGAGGAAAAACGTTGTCTTGTATTCAAGTAAATATGGTAGGTTCATCATGAAGCAGATGCTCAGCATGGATAACATGTGTCTGCATGGTTAAAAGTCAGCAAAGTATAACCAATTGAAAACAGCGTCTTATAATGAGAAGTGTTAGAAAACTTTAAACTATAGGTTAAACAACTATCATTCAGTATTGTGTAACAAAGTTATTCTCAGTATTTTTTTAAAGAAAACTATAAAGATTTAAGACAACAATTAAAATTGCCTAAGTAACATTTTAACTAACTGGGCCTAGCATTTCTGTTTCTATGTGTTTATTTTGAGGGAAAGACTTCCCCAGAGTTATTCGGTCACAGGCAGCATTCCCTCTAAGCTGTGTGCCATGCGCGGCTGTGCAGACGTGCTCATGCTCAGCTGCCACACACACCACACAGCTTAGAGGGAACACTGGTTCCAGCAGCCTCTCTTCCCTTCTCTCTACAATCTGATCTAAAGGAAGCAGATCTGGAGCAGACCTTAGGAGGAGTAGGCACTTCTTTGTCACTGGCAGTGAAAAAAGGAAAAGCCTACCTGGATTTCTTTGCCCTACACTTCCACTCCTCTATCCTCCAAGCTAGACCCTCCTAGACCCTGTACACTAGTGATGTCATGAGACTGTTCCTACTTCAAAGTCTTCAGATTATTTGCCCAACTGCTTCCCACTGTCTTTTCCTTTGCTTCCTGAATGCTCTACTGCCAAGCTTCCCTCTTTTCCATTTTTTTCCCTGCCTCCTTTCTACACTTTTTTCCTACTAATCCTACTCCTAAGTCTCCCTATCTTTCAGGGTCACTCTTCCCCACATTCATTTTCCCCACTTCCTTGCTCCATATTCAAATCTATAAAATAATACATTATCAATAAATAGAATTTGAGAGCCCAGGGCCTGTAGATGTGAGCAAAACAATAAAAGAGTAAAAAGGACAAGGCTCTGCATTTATTACCCTTTCCTCCCATTCTCAATATGAAATGTTATTCTAATATTAAAAGTAACAGTTCCAAATCAGTAGCTGTTTCTGTTGACAGAGTTCATATGAGTCCACAAACCAAACTAAAAAGTAAAAGCAGATCAGACTCCTCTTCTATAAGCTTAACAGTCCTGGAACCTACCTCCTTGGTAAATTCTATCAGGTCACCCACCCTCCCCTAAGGTCAAATAGTTCTCTTGGCATATGTATCCTAGGGTATGACCACTTGTTCTGTCTAGCTAAAAAACTGGTGAGGCTCTAATGTTTTCCCACAGCCCAGACAAGCTAGAGAAAGAGGAATGCTCACCCAGCAAGTTTCTCAGGAACCTTCAGTGCATGTCCCTGCTCCTGATCATGATCCAATAAAAATGTACTTCATTCTTGACAGAAGCAGTATCTGACTTCCTGGATAGTCACTGTTTATATGAATTACTGAAGTTTGCCCCATATGGAAACTTCCACATGAAGAGTATTCAGAACTAGAAGATTTTTTTTTATTAATCCCCAAAAAATAAGTGCATCCCACTGAAATAATTAATTATTATTCCTCTGCTCTTAATACCAAAATATACAAACACAAACAGTACTAACAACAAAGAATACTGTTTTTCCATAGGTAGACAATTTGATTAATATCTTCTCCCCAGGATAGGAAATAGAGAACACCTCCAAAAACAACAAAATATCCAGCCTTCAGAGTATGATGATCCCAAGCTATTTTTCACAAAATGGGAAGCTAAGTGTCACTCAAGTCTTAATATGCCTTATACGCTGCAGTGAAACATAATTTAGTCATCAAGTACAAGTTTCTGAGAATTATTTTCTTTATAACTGGAAGTCCATTTTTGAAGACGGCTATGCGCTTTGGAAATTAAGGACTCTTACCTAACCAGATTTGCCTAACTGTAGAAATTGAACATTTTGAAATAAATAACAACACTGTTTTGCAATGTTGGGGCTGACCTGTCATACTTGCATGTATTATCTCACTCATTTTAATGTTACGAAGTCACATGAGTATAGGCTATAAACCAAGTTCTTTCATCTCAAAATTTGCAACTCTTAATCCAAACCATCTCCCCACTTCAATGTGTTTATTATTCCATTAGTGCTTCCACAGGAGAAAAACATTATTTTCCAAAGTACAATACTATAAAACAGAAGCATCCTTTTGCATTGTGAAGCCAGGTCCCTGGAAGAATACTTGTAGAATAAAACATTCACAGAACTTCATAATTGTGAACTATTATGAAGAATATAAACAGATGACTTTCCCCTGTGCATTTGTTTTCTAATTTGTTCAGGAGCCTGATATCTTTTTCACAAAATGATTGAAAAACCAGATGCACATCTGGCATATTATAAGCAAGTACTACCTATTGCCAAAACATGATGAGCTGTTTACTTTACCCACTGCGATTACAAAAATACTGATCAAACACACTAGATTACTGATTTTACAGACTCATTTCACCCTCAAGGTTTCTGTTACCAGCAAGAGTATGCAGTTCTTACAGAAGAATCAGATTTCTGTTCTATACATTTTACTCTTTAGCAAACTATTGAGCAGTGTATTTATTCAAAGATTATATATAAAAATCTTTTTAAATACTTTTAAAAGGCCATTTGGATTGCTTAAATAATTATATCTGATTATTAGATACTATTCATTGGCTGACACACTGACATGCTCAGGATACATGGAAGAACTTCTTCCTAATTGATCAGATGTGTATGTAATAGTGTTCGGCATCTGATGACTCTGAAGTATATTTAAATTAAATATTTATGAGGTATATTTATGCCAGTTTTGATGTGCTATGGGGCTGCAAGTGATCCAGCTGACAACAGTGATGCTACTGGAGTAACCATAGGTCAATGGTGCTCAAACTCTAGCCTATGAAACCATGTCATCCAGCCTGTGATATAATCTATCCCCACAGGTCCAGAAATTTGGCAGCAGGGTAGTGGTGTCAGTGTTAATTGCCATTCCCTTGCTGCCAAGTTTCCAGCCCCATGGGGAGCCCCACAGGCTGGATAATATGGCTCTGCACACTAGATCACACTCGTGTGTGGTTGGGCCAGCACACTGGATTACACCTGTGGACCAATCCCGTGCCATTCATTCAAACCATGGGTCTGGAAGTTTGGTGACCACTGCCCTGGGCTTTTCTCTACCTCTTTACCCACTCCCAACATCCATATTGATTAGATGAGTTAAAGAGTCCATCACATACTTGACTTAAATAGTTATCAAGTCAACTTTGTGTGGAATCACATCCCTTCCAGTCCTTCAGTGGGGGCATGTTGATGGTGGCAGTCCAAATATGCAACACTCTAACAAATTATGGCTGATAGAAGGCTAAGGCAGCAATCTGCTGGGTGTCCTATATCACCACTGCCTCCTATCTACATCCATGAAGGGGAAGCCACTGCTTTACTGTGGGGCTCCTGTGCCTCTACCCAACACCAGAGAAATGAGTAATTAAATTCCAAAGTTTCTAGTGAGCTATTTTGGATTTACATCAGCTCAGTCAAGCAGTATATCCTTTACTTTAAACCATTTTAAAATGCTGGTGTCGCTAGACTGATGACATCCAAATACTGATTGAAACAGAAATGTACAGTGTATGGATAAGTTTATAGCTTATCAGTGAATACCCAAATATAATACAAATAACTCAGGTTATTTGTAGACCTGAGTTGTAATTTTTCAAATCCTGAAGTCAAAAATTGTCTAAAATATTTAACTGTTCACTACACAACAATCTGCTTGTTGACAGATGTAATTTCCTCACTCCATTCAAACTTGTGTGGAACAAAAACTGTTCAGAATGATTTTTTGAACTTGTAGTACCAGTGGTAATGTACATTAAGAACATTACCAGTAGTAATGTACATTAAGAATTTTTCATATCTCTAAACAGGGATCTGGTTTTAGACTACAATAGGTATATAAGAATTGACATAAAGGACTGTGTTGTTCTTTCTTGTCATTGAACAACAAGAACAACAACAACAAAGCAAGAATTGAAATGCTGCAGAAGTATAACTTTCTGGCAGCTTATCTGTACTTAAGTGCTTTGCATTCCAGAGTCCTCACCTACAACATTCTTATGATCTGATTCTTGAATTGTTTACGTCACTTGCCAGCATGGAAACAGACTCATAAGCAGCTGACTCAAAAGATTTATTGTTTCGTTTGCTTAATATAGTAAGCCATGCTTGCTGGGGTGTGCATGTATGTGTGTATTTGTGGTGCAATACCTGGACATCTATACAGCTTTCTTGCCTGTGCAATATCTCCTTTACTTAGACGAGTACGCTGACCAATGGCAGGTCGTATACCATTATCATCACGGGAAGGAAGAATAGTATCCAGAAACATGCCCCTATAACAAAAAAGAAAGACCCCCAAAACTTATAAGTTTTCCATCAATAAATAATCCTGGTATTTGTAATATAAAATATTCATTCATTCTGCAATATATAGTAATTAAGTTTACCATTATTATGAAGGCAATATTACAAAAAAAAGAATGCAAGAGAAAAATTGCACATCAGAAAAAAAATGGTCAGTCATAACGATGATAACTGAAAATAGTCTTTTTTCAATATGCTAACACAACTACTTTTGGTTTTCTGACACCAACATTAAAGGCTTTTCTTATTAAAATGTAAATTTAACAAAAAATTAAAAAGTACTATAGTTTAGACAGGCATGTGGCTAGGGTGGTTTAATTGGGGATGATCCTGCCTTGAGCAAGTGGCAGCAATATAAATCCATGCTAACTTATTTGCCATCAGAAGAATTATCTCAATTGTATTAGTATAACAGAGAGCCATTTTTGGTGAGAATATTATACTTAATTTAGAATTTGCCTGGCCTCAGGTGGTTAATATTTAAATAAATAATTTTTTTGAGTTGGGTATAATAATATTACATTAGTATTATAAACTACAGAAAAGTGGGTGTTGGCTCTTTAAGATAAGAAATCTCTGAAACCCTTAAGTCTGAAACCTTTTTAAACCTAGAGTTATGTCAGTTAGCTCATTTCTATATGCTCTGCTTTATTTTTGATACTCATTTATAGTTGCAAGGCATGCATTGAATATTAAAATCTTGAACTGCCATTTATCAGTATGGGCTAGAATAATGAATATAGAGTAGAAATCTTAGTAGTCAGAGTTACACTTATGAATAGGGATAATTTTTTAAACCATAATTTCTCAACCTGTGGTATGTGTACCCCTGGGGGCATGCGAGACAGGCAGGGGGTACACGGGTACCCCAACACTCTCTCTCTCTCACTCACCCTCTTTTCCTCTCTCTCATCCCTTCCTCCTTTCAAAACTATGGCAAAAAATTTGGTATGCTACATACTGTGCAGAGCTTTAAATTCCCCAGCAATAATTTGGCATTCAGCCCTCCTAGCTTTAGCCAACATCACCTCTAGACCAGGTACATACTAGAGTTGTGCACCCCTGGTGTTAAAGGTGGCAATCCTACCCACACCAGATCAGACATCTATCATATCACGGCCTTATATAGATAGCCCTTCTTCCAACATGCAGCACACATTAGTCTGTAAATATAAAATCCTCTGGAAAATTGAATGTTGGGGTACTTATTCAAATTTTCAGAAGATAGGGGGTACCTGCTACTTAAAAGGTTGAGAAACACTGTTTTAAACTATAAGGCTAGAGACAGACATTCAAAAATCCAGAATCTGAATTGATTCAAAATGTGCAGGTTAGTCTATCCTGCCCAAATTGAACCAATTTGCAAGTGAACAGACATTCCCTTTTGACTCAGGAAATACAGGCACATGCCTGCAGTGGCTCAGGCCAGAAGCTGGTGGGAGCTACAGCATGCCCTCAGTTGCAGGGAAGCTGTGCTGGAGGTGGGGTGAGGGGGAACGTGGCCAGGCCGCAGCAGTAGCCTGAAGTGAACTGGCCAGGGAAGGGGTTTAATTGCCCCCTCCCTGTCCCACCAGCACAAATCCGGGGTGGGATCTGCCTGGTACTCCCTGCTCATTGCTGCAGTGGCAGGGGCGGGGGAAGGGGTGTGCCCGGCCCCCTGAGGCAAAGGGGCAGGGACAGGGTTTATTCCATCCTCTGCCCCCTCAGGAGTGCAGCTAGAGTCTGCCAGCTCCGGCTGCTACCTCCGCTGATCGCTCCCTGCATGGAGCAAGTGACAGTATAAGCCCCCTCCCTGCCCTCTTCACCAGATGCCAGAGGAAGCGGGGAAATAAACCTCCTCCCTGTCCCTTTCCTCTAAGGGGCCATGCCCCTGCCACTGAAGTAGTAAGGGGAAGTGACCCTCGTGGGGCAGCAGCCCCTGTCATGGTATCCTGGGAGCACAAGCCTCTTCTGG